TCAAACAGCAGCCGTGCTACCAACAGCAGCTCCAGTTGCCGCTCCAGCAGCAGCAGTTCCAGCCGCAGCCGCTCCAGCAGCAGCCGGTCCAGCCACTCCAGCCGCCACAGCAGCAGCCACTCCAGCCACTCCAGCCGCCACAGCAGCAGCCACTCCAGCCACTCCAGCCGCCACAGCAGCAGCCACTCCAGCTGCCACAGCAGCAGCTGTTCCAGCCTGTCCAGCCGCAGCCGATCCAGCCGCAGCTGTTCCAGCCGTCACAGCAGCAGCTTCGTGTTGCCAACTTTTGTTCAATGACCAGCTTGTCCTATGCACCTCCACCCCCGTTGCAACAGAGTTACGCACCACTTCCCAAGAAAAGACATTTCGAACATTCAGACTTTTCTGATTTGAAAAGAATCAAGTTGACAATGCAGGTGGGTTATATACCAGTTATGGATTTCCTTGATAAAAACCCACCCGTTGAGCCATACCAGTTTAGAGTTGAGTCTACTTTTTGCAGTATCCCAGAAAATCATCAAGCCGCGAAAATAACAAAAATCGGAGCGACTATTGTGGATGGGTACGTCGAACTGCTCGGAGACACGCACAAAATGGATAAGAGTTTTGGTGGCGAGTTTGATGAAAGTGACTTGCTCGTCTCAGAAGAAAGTCCCTTGTCTGTCACAATCAACAGAGTACCAAATGTTGATGCCTCATGGTCAAACAGGGCGAAAGATTTCGAGAAACTGGTGACATCACTTGTGAAAAGATACAATGCAGATGGCAGAAAGGTTGCTTATCTTGATGATTTTATTGCTCGGGTAAATAAACTACGGAGTGTAAAACGTCGGCGAGAAATATATCTTTGGATCATTATGCATCACCCCTTATTCATTGAATCCGCAAAAAGAAGATTTGTCCTTGAGGATTTCTATAAATTCTATAAAACAATTCCTCCCGAGGACAGGCACCAGCTTATCAGCAAGATAAACCATAAAATTTATCATAGGTGGCATTTGCTAATTGCTCCTCAAGACTACTTTATCTCCTTTGTGTACTGGAAAGGAAGGGAAAAAATGCGTCCAGCGGACCATTTTGAGAAAGATCATACTTCTCTGGACAACAAGGATGAAGATGTGAATATTTATCCATTTACAAGTGAAGATGGTTATCTAGCTGCATTACTGCGTCATCTTCTCGTGCATGGCCCCGAAGATGCCGTGGTATGTGAGAAAGTCTCTTTAATTCTGCTATTGCGTAAGTAACGTTTGTTACTCAGTACTCACACTGTTTTTTCATTGTAGTGGTATGATGATGTTGAGTTGGAAGAATTGGATCTCATAATCGCATATTACTTCGAAAGATTTTTGCCAAGTTTTCTTGATGAAATTTCCAGCGTCAAAGATGAATATAAAATGTAAGTGCCATAGCAAACCCTTTTGTTACCCTCCATTCTTTGTTTGAATTGCTAATGTGCCATTTCAGGCTTAAGGAGATCCTCACCACCTATGCATACCGGAGAACTGTTTCTGGAAGAGTTTCCGAGTGAAAGATTTGATCAGATGAAACATAAAGTACTCCTGGTAATCAGTGGAAGCTTACTGCCAATGAGTCTCTTCTGAGCCGCTTTTGAAAACTTTATGTTATGATCTGCCACGTGCTTTTGAGAAATTCTTTTGTGATGATAAAACTGTGTTATCTTACAGGTATTGAAAGATTGTCCAGCTTGGTTCTGTGATTGTCAAGGTCTTGAAGTGTTGGCCATGTTCCAGCTGAAATCTGAAAGAACTGAACTTTTCTGCATGCAAGTGGGCATATATTTCTCTGCTTCATTAATGACATTTCTTCAGCCGTTCTGGTCATCTGGTGACACAAAGGACTTATTCTGTGTTTTTTGTTTCTGTGTACAGGTTTATAGCCCGAGGGCCCTACATCCTTAGTCCCTGCACGTAATTTTTTGGACTTACCTTTATAATGAATATGAGCTGGGACAAGTGGTACTTGCTAATCTTCCTCTATCTCAAGTGTGTATTAAAGATTGCCCATGCGAAAAGGTGAGGTTCAATTGTTCATACTGTAAACCATTTAGATCTCATGGTATGTTTCCCACTTTGAATTTTATTGTTACTCCTTTGTATTTGATGCAGTAATTTATCTCTTTGTTGTTCAATCATAAAAATTTGGTTTAGATTCAATCTGTAGCAAGGATTGTTCTCTAAAGTGCTTGAACTACTCTGTGAGCCATGTAGAGTAGCCATCAGTTATTGACTAAGGTAGTATTAGAGCATCTCTAGCAGACCCAAAAAACAGCCCAAACCCGTATAGTCGCTGGAAATATAAGGGCCGGGCGATTATAAAGGGTCTGCTAGAGATGCTCTTAGCTTACAAACAGTTACTCCATTATTTTTTCTCTTGTCATTGTAAAATTTCATATATAAGTTACTGATAACAATATCTGTAAAGTTGCTTACTTCATGGCCGAAAACATTTCTGATTATGTGTTGAAAATGATTAGTGAGAGTTATACTATTCTGTACACATGTTTGAACGGGTGACTTTCTGCAGTGTATTATGTATGCCACATTAACTAAGATTTATGACAACTAGAACGTTGGCATTTTAATAATAATGTAATTCCCCCTTGCCTATGATTTATGTATGCCAACGACATTTATCTGCTCTAGGGTACTCATTTTTCGATGTGGAGACGTCAACTGGAGAAGTTATTGAAAGGATGTCTAGTGACAGAATGTTAATTCAAGATGCAATTGGAGAAAAGGTGAGCCATATCTTTTCCATGTGACTCCCTGTTAAATTTTAAATTTATGATTTTCCTATTTCTCAGGTACTTTAATGCATACCTCCAGTTTTCTGTTTCTATTACAAATTATCACACAACCAGGTCAAGTTAGTTCAAGTATATGTCTCCTTTGCATGGATATATAAAGATCATAAGTGTTATTTTAAGTGAATCATGATTTTGATGTATGCTAGTTTTTCTATAAAAAGCTTTGCAGTTTCAACTATGCAAAAAATTTGAGGCTACTTCCAGTATACATATACTGATTACAGCATGCTAGGCCCCTCCCGATGTGGCTTTGTCGGTGGGCTAGTGTTTCCATTTGCCGTTCGTTTTTGGCTAGCTAAGGTTGTTTCTGTTGTTATTTTGTCCCTTTTCTTATCAGTGTTTTAGTCGCCTGCTCGCCGTTGTAACACGCATGTCATCTTGATTCTTTCCTCCAATACAAAACTACTTGCACTTGGGTGCATGCTTAAGATTCTTTTTACTGATTACAGTAGCAAGATCGTGTGTAATGCATAGAACACAATCTCTAGAAACTTGTGGTTTAGCACACTTTAATTTGACTATTTATGAAGGTGGGCAAGTTTCTCCATCTGGTATCAACATTTCTGGGTGGATTTATCATCGCATTTACAAGAGGCTGGCTTCTGTCCCTTGTTATGTTGTCAAGTATTCCTCCTGTTGTAGCAGCTGCTGCAGTCATGTCACTTGTTCTATCAAAGTTATCAAACCGTTCCCAGATGGCCTATGCTGAAGCGGGGAAAGTGTTTGAACAAACAATAGGATCAATCAGAACGGTATATCTATCTTCCATAAACTATACCCTTATAATTCTTGTGCATAGCTAACTTCTCATTTCCTTCATGAAAACAGGTGATATCTTTCACCGGTGAGAGCAGAGCAATTAATGAATACAAAGAGCATTTGAAAATATCATACAAGTCAGCAGTCCACCAGGGTATTGCCGGGGTCCTTGGAGTTGGTTCACTTCTGCTTATTGTTTTCTGCAGCTATGGATTTGCTGTATGGTATGGTGCAAAGCTGATTATTGAAAAGGGATATACTGGTGGCTATATCATTAATGTGTTGATGGCCATCATGACTGGTGCAATGTCAGTATTTTCATTTGCATGGCAGCATCTATTTTCAAGATACAAAGCTCCAAATTCAAATTAAATTGCCATCATTTGCATGATGTTTGTTTCTTCTAGTTGTTTGTAGGGCTCTTGGCCAGTCTTCTCCATGCTTAAGTGCTTTTGCATCTGGACAGATTGCGGCTCACAAAATGTTTGCAACCATTTATAGAAAACCTGAGATTGACGCGAGTGGCCTTATATTGGAGAACTTTGTTGGAAATGTTGAGTTGAAAGATGTCCATTTCAGTTACCCTGCACGGCCTGAGCAACTTATCTTCAACGGCTTCTCTATAAGCATTCCAACTGGCATGACGGTGGCACTGGTTGGGGAGAGTGGAAGCGGGAAATCTACTGTAATTGGCTTGGTAGAGAGATTCTATGATCCACAATCAGGTGAAATTTTTTTGGATGGAGTTAATCTGAAACAGCTGAACCTTAGCTGGGTAAGACAGAAAATAGAGCTTGTTAGCCAAGAACCTATTCTTTTCACAACTACTATACGAGAAAACATAGAATATGGAAAGAAGGGTGCGACAGAGGAAGAAATTAGGAGATCAACTGTGCTTGCTAATGCTGCAAAGTTCATTGACAAGTTACCAAATGTATGCCCATTTAATCCCTTCTCATGCATTCTGCAATCTTGTATTTTTGCAGTGTTATTTTCACCCCTAATTATAAGTTGACAACCATTACCAGGGACTGGGTACAATGGTTGGTGAGCATGGAACACAACTATCTGGTGGACAGAAACAAAGAATTGCAATCGCAAGAGCAATTTTGAAGAAACCCATACTTCTTGATGAAGCTACAAGCGCACTTGATGCCGAGTCTGAGCGTGTAGTTCAAGATGCACTAAATAATATCATGGTGAACAGAACCACAATAGTTGTAGCACATCGCCTGAGCACTGTAAAAAATGCTGATACAATATCAGTGCTACATCGTGGACAGCTTGTGGAGCAAGGTAAGCTGAATTTCTGCATCACTTTTAGCTCGTCATACTGCATTTATTCAGCAAGGGTGAAGTTTCAGATTTTGATGTTAGAAACAAGCTCTAAATGCATGTTTGCACAACAGGGCCACATGGTGATAAAGGATCCCGATGGAGCCTACTCCCAACTTTTACGGCTGCAAGAGGTTAATACAAAAAGGGAGGGATCTCATGGAGATGACTCCAGCAGGTTACAATCAGCATCTGATACTGCAAATTCTGCAAGTCAACACAGCAGTATAAAGCCATCCTTTGGGAGATCTATGAGTAGATATTCACCACAGGGTGGAAGCAGAAGAAACTCGCAAACATTCTCATTGCATGAACATGAAACCGAAGGGGTTGATGATGCCAGGTCAGGGAAGAATGTGATCAGACGCCTGCTCTATCTCCATAAGCCTGAGGTTCCAATCCTTCTGTTAGGGTGCACTGCTGCTGCAGCCAATGGTGCTATACTTCCTGTGTTTGGCATGCTGCTTTCAAATGCCATTAACGCATTCTATGAACCACCACAACAATTGCGAAAAGACTCCATATTCTGGGCAGAGATGTATGTGATGTTGGGTGTGATCTCCATCTTTGTCATCCCATTGCAATACGCATTGTTCAACGTGGCAGGTGGTAAACTTATCGAGCGCATAAGTGCGGTACTGTGGTTTCATTTAGTCGGATTGTTTACCAGGAAATAGGATGGTTCGATGACCCTCTGAACAGCAGGTACTTCTGTGTTCACTTATTCATCTGATACATCAATATTGTAGAATGCCATCATTTTTTTGTTTCCTGATTCTCAATCATTGTTCCAATTCTCTAGCGGCGCAATAGGCTCCAGACTATCAGGGGATGCGGCGTCTGTTAAAAGCATTGCTGGGGATGTCTTGTCATTGATAGTGCAAAGCATAAGCACTGCTGTTGTCGGTATCGTAATAGCCATGCTTGCAAACTGGAAACTAGCATGCATTGTATTGTGCTTCCTTGCGTGACTGCACAGAATTATGCTCAAACGAGGTTAATGAGAGGTTTTGGTGCTGATGCCAAGGTATATGGTCTGTCATTCCTTTTTCATGGCGATCATATCATTGTGTAGTTTCTATTTGCTGAAATTCTTTGGAATGTTACCTGCAGGAAATGTATGAACAAGCGAGCACAATTGCCACTGATGCCATCGGTAACATCAGAACTGTTGCTTCATTTTGCGCAGAAGAGAAGATAATTGAAAGCTACCGAAAGAAATGTGAAGGTCCTGTGAGACAAGGAGTTCATCAGGAGGCTATAAGTGGCGTGGGTTATGGATTCTCATTCGCGTTGCTCTTCTGTTTTTATGCCATATCCTTTTACGTTGGAGCTCGCTTTGTACACAATGGGACTGCAGAAGTTGGGCAAGTCTTCAGGGTGAGAACCGAACAACTCGTAGACTCAAAGAATTGATCTGGGTTTTCTTCTCATTGCCGCTGCTGTTTCTTGAAAATGCAGGTCGTCTTCGCTTTAACCATGATGGCTGTTGGAGTTTCTCAGTCGAGTTCGCTTGCTCGGGATTTTGCCAATGTGCAAGATGCAGCTGCCTCCATTTTCAGGATTATTGATAGGAAATCCAAGATCGACGCAAGTCATGAGGTAGGAATGACACTAGAGGCAGTGGAAGGGAATATAGAGTTGCAGCACGTGAGCTTCAAGTACCCTGCTCGGACCGACGTGCAAATTTTCAGAGATTTGTGCTTGAGGATACCATCTGGCAAGGTACATTTGGTTTTCGGATTTCTCCCACTTTTTACAGTACTCTTTAAGTGCTCTGCTGTATAGAAGAACTTGAACAAGATGAAAATAACTTGACTGGGGTAAAAAGTGGATAGAACACAACCCAATGTAAATAGAGCTCTCAGTTCGTTTAGAAATCGTAAGTAATGCGATAACATTTGAGTTATTATTTTTATTTTTTGGAATAAAAGAAGGGCCTCCCCTTCCAATTTCCAACTGAAATATGATCATTTCTAGGGTTTGCCAGAACTTGGTGAAATTTATCCAATTGGTGGTGCCGATGACCATCTTGGTTTAGTGGACTCAGATACTGGTGCTTCCCTTCCGGCGGCTTTGCTTCCTTGCTGTGAAAGATCTCTACTGGAAGGACTGATGCGAGATCTGAAGGTACTTGTGTTCCGTATATGAAACTCTTCTTCGGGCACACATTTTTTTTACCAAGGAATTGCTTTAAAAATGTAATTAAGTGCCATGTACACTCCCATAATATCTCGTATGTACTGTATTATATGACAGGCTAGAGAGTTTCTTCATTATAAGATCTTTGGGAAACAATGTATAACCCCTGTGGCGGTCATGACAAGCTCTGTGAAGAATAACCATGAATATATAGTTGCCATCTGTGGAAGACTTGGACGGTTTGGTAGAGGCCACGAGAATTTCCGCTTGTTTGAACAGGTGCAATTGTTCGTCAAGTCAGGTTGTCTGAATTATATAATTGGAGACTTTGGTAATATCTATTCAGTAGTGCACAATTCTTTTCAGTACAATTGTCTGTCACACACTCTGCCCAGAACTTCCGTAGAGTTCTAACTGAATTGCATCACGGCTTTTCCAGCCTTTGGTACCTGTAGTAAATGCTGAAGATGGTAAATGGTTAATCGGCGAATCACTTCTCCCTGTGGTCGTGGCGCTATTTGGAAACTTGCTTGCGATTGAGGTATATTTGAATGGCTTTACAGTCATGGCAGAAAAGGTGCAACTGTTCGTCAAGTCAGGTTGTCTGAACTATGTATCTGTTTTTTCTCTCTTGTGTAAAGAATCATTTGGAAGGGGGACTAACTGTCGAGCTCTTTTGCTATTTTCAGCAACGTTGTTGCTGCAACTGATTTGATGCTGATGGCATTGGCCAGAATAGGCCTGCGTAATAAGGTAAAAAGAAATGAAGGGCAACAATGTTTTATAGGAGATTTCTCTTCTGTGTAATAGCTCACATTAGTTACTAATATTAATCTCGGACTATGCTACTCCCTCCGTCCGGAAATACTTGTCATCAAAATGGATAAAAGGGGATGTATCTAGACGTATTTTAGTTCTAGATACATCTCTTTTTATCCATTTTGATGACAAGTATTTTTGGACGGAGGGAGTACCTATTTTGCACCTCTAGATTCTTGTATTTTTTGTATCTTCAGTTCATCACATGTTCTGACATATGGCATATCATACCTCAGAAATTAGGTTTTGCATCTTGTGAACGAAGACCAGGCGCTACTGAAGGGGTGAATGTTCTTATTGGAAAACAAAACTTTGATAGGCTCTGGGAATATGGTATCACTTGCATCTAGTATACTGGATTTGAAAAATACGGTATATCAGAACTTACAGCAACGAATGGCAGGTACTGCACATATTATCCCAACGTGCACACCTATTTAAATACAAAGAGGCCCAAGACGCCGATTCCATAAGTTTATTCTGCTCTTGATGCTTTACCCATTCCCTCCAGTTGTAGTGTATCAATATGCTCTTCATGGTGAATATAATATTGTAGAAGTGTACACTATACTCTTTTGTTCTAGTTCCAAAAGTTAGTTTTTACATGTATCCCTATGAAGGTGTCTCTGCGATTGACACTTGGTAAAAACAGATCCAGAAAAATATGAGTAGCCAGGTTTTGTTACCTTGAATTCTGAAAAGTATAAATGCATGTCTTTGCACACCTCCATATACATTTACATCAAGTTACATTTCCCCGTCAAAAAAAAAAATTACATCAAGTTACAATCGCAAGATAGCAACCATTTATTAGTACCATAGTGATGTTGATCCGGCTGCATATGCTGTAGCTTCAAATGCTTGCTTTCTCAGCTTCATGCTTTTTGTGGATGCAGTGATGTTTCTTGTCTCTAAGATTCTGTCCTGTTGTGTGCATCAATATTTATCTTTCTTAAATCATCTAGGCTTTTGTTAATTTAGTTTGCAGACTAGCTATCCAGCAAATACTAACATCCTATATGTTGATCTGCAAGCAGCGCAGGAAGTTGGAACATGCAAAAATGCGTTGCTTACCAGAATCATACTAAATTTAAAGAAGGCAGTATCATATGTGGATCATCTGGGCTTTGAGTGTAGGTACTTGCTTTCCAGTAAATTCCCTATGGACTTCTGGCCTTTCTGTATTCCTAGTGTTGAGTTTTCTGCACTGTTAATCTTGTCACTTGGGCTTAGAATGCTAAACATATTGTTGATTGCACAAAGATTTCAGTGGGTGTGTGGCTACTTCTTAATATGTTTGCTATATTGTTTGGTAGCTGGTGCGGGAAGGGTGACAATAATTTTATGACTGCAGCTAAGGTAGCGACAGTTAACTGATGGAAAATTGCAAAAAGAAAACTACACGCAGAAAGGTTAATTTGGGCCCTTGTCCATGCCAAAACAAAACTGCTGTGGGGACTGGGGGAAATCAAAATATTTGCCCAAGTCCTGTAAACATTAACTGATTTATTATGATCCACTAACTTATTTCTGTTACATCATTTTTACTATGTGACAGTGCTGCTGGTGGCAGGCTAGAGTGCACGATGCAAAATATGGCAGATAATTTTCGGAACATATATACCTACAGGTGCAGCAAAGGAATAGAAAGTATGTAAGTAGTTTCATATTTGCTTCCCATGTACTCATGTCTGTATCCAACTACTGTCTTTTTGCGTCTCGGGTTTTAGCAATCTCATATTTAACAAGTGATTTTGTTTCATTGTATACAATGGAAGGAAAAAAGTCACTTCATCAGCTAAAAGGAAGATGAAATCAGAAGACAAACCATGGCACCAGGTTAATATTACACTACGCAATCCAATTGGATTCTCATGTTGCTGCATGCAAATTACCCCATCCGTTCCTAAATATAAGTCTTTCTAGAGATTCAACAAGTGACTACATACAGAGCAAAATGAGTGAATCTACACTCTAAAACATGTCTACATACATCCGTATGTTGTATTTCATTTGAAATGTCTAAAAAGACTTATATTTAGGAACGGAGGGAGTATCAAATTCTAAACTTTTATCTGATTTGGTGTACCTTCTAAAACCTAAAGTTTTTTAATTAAGGTTTCCACTTTTCACCTCTCACGAATATATATATATATATATATATATATATATATATAT